AAACGTAAAAGTGAATTATTTCCTTTATTAATTCACTTCATATTTCATTTATAGCTTGCTTCGTACAAAAAAAAACCAATAATAATGATAATAATAACGCAAACATATTCGTTCAACTTGTCTGATTTACCTATTCCATCCAAAATTAAAAAATTATACTGAACTTGAACTAATGAAAAAAATAATATTTGGTGAATTTATACGTAGATCTTAACTGCAAAGAAGGTGCTTTAAATTGGTTAAGCGAATTTCAGAAAATATCAATGACTACTATGCAGCATGAAAAAAGCTGAATCTTTATTATCAGGAAAACTGGCTGCTTATCTCTATCAACGAAATTCTACCATAAAGGTTGAATCATTACGAAGTGGAGCAAAAATTCGTGACAATAATGTGAAGGTTTTTAAACGTCATATGTTGTAATATTTGCGTGAAGTATAGAACCAATGAAAAAAATTATGTAAAATTAACTATGTGCTAAATAAATTTTCCGGATATTCATTCCGGACTATCACATGATCACCGGAGCAGCAACCTGGTACACATTTTCGGATATAGTGATCCAAATCGTTAGTTGAAAAACCAACTAGTTGCCAACTTTCCAACTAATCGATTAAATCATCAACCAGTTAAATTCTGAGATAGAGTTCCTATCCATTATCCGTTTATCCATTTATCTATCGCTATTGGATATCCGTTTTACTATTGACATCCGGATAATTATCCGGTTTATCCGGATATCAATAGTGAAAATCAGGAAATCCATTCCGTCTATTCGTGTTGATTTCGCGATCAGGTGATTGTGACCCAATCAACGATCAATAAACTTAACATTAATAATACGGTAAATATTATTTTGATTGCGTGATTTAAGCTAGAAACTTCATAATATCAGCATATAAATTTAAGAATATTTACCGTATTATTAATGTTAAGTTTATTGATTGTTGATTGGGTCACAATCACCTGATCGCAAATTTTTTCTGCCATCACTAAGAAATCCAATTTTATATATACTGTATTTTCATACGCATGTCTTGCACATTGCCCTTCACTAATGTTGTCAGACACATGTTAAGATCTCATACACTCATACATCGAAGTGTTCGGAGCTAAAAGTTCAAGTAATTGAGTATATGATCACCTTTTTTTTCTCAAAGTTTAATAGTAATAAACAAAGATAACAAGAAATTGCTCAAGCATGCGGTTGAGCATCGTCTCAATTGCTAATAAGCATAAATTTTTATGATTTTTTGTTTGTTTATTTTATTTATTAGTGGACTCAAAAATATATAAAGACAAAGCGATGAATTTTTTTTTTTTTTTTAAAAAAAAAAAAACTCGATCAGAAACTTCCATCAGAAATATTGACGCAATATACGGACCATGGACTTGTTATATAATATTCTAAATATCTTTGAAATAACTTTTATTTTCAGAATCTTTTTGTTGTCAATATGTTTTTACATATTTCGTTTTTATTACGAATATTTTACTCGTGTAAATCCTCTCCCGGGTCCAATACCAATTCCTTTGATAGGAACATTTGAAATTTTTAGGGCTCATATAGATATTGATGCATGGTTATTCAAATTAACTAAAAAATATGGACAAAATGGAATATTTGAATTAAATATTGGTGGTAATAGACAAATAGTAATCACTCGCGCAGAATACGTTGATAAATTTATGTCATCAGCAAAGGAAAATCTCAAGAAAAATTTGAATAGAACCCCAAATAATGGACTTTTAAAGTTGCTTGATCTTGATTGTAAAGGTGTCGCATTAAATGATGACTATAATTCTTGGAAATTTAATCGTCAAATTCTTTCAAACGCCTTTACGACAGCATATAATTCTGATGAAACCATTAAAATAACGAATAGGTTATTTGAAGAAATGACTGATTATTGGATGAATTTGAGAAACCCTAATGAAAACTCAGCAACAGTTGATGCGACTGATTGGATGCTTAGATTTACAAATGAGTTTATTTCTGTAATTATAACAGGAAATCGTACATTTGCGATTAAAAATTATCATCACAAATTAAAAACCAACGAAGTTACAAAAGAAGTAATGGAATCTGAAAAATTTATTGAATACATAAGCAATTACATTGGTGACGGTCAAGTTATATTTATACAAAAACATTTAAGACTATTTCCTTTTGTCAATGGACGTGTGAATAAAATGATGTATATACTCAACTATATTAATAAAACATTGGAAGAAAGAATTAGAAAGAGAAGAAAAGAAGTTGAAATACTTGTTAATAATAGTAATTTTGATCCATCGCAATTAAAGAATGATTTGTTAACATCCATGATCATTGCCAACACACCATATGAAACTAAGCCACAAAAAAATGTTGATCCTTCATTATTAAGGCCAATGACTAATGATGAAATACGTGGTATTATGTTTGATTCGTTTTGGGGTGGCACAGAAAGTGTAAGTAATGAGGTTAAACCCCTGATCTTTTATACATTCCATCTTTTATTTTGAAAAGATTTTAATTTGTCAATTATCAATTATAAATGTCATGTATTATTATTTTCTATAGACTGCAAGTACAATTTGTTACGTATTATATTACATTACACATCACCCACATGTTAAAAAGAAGTTATTGGAAGAAATAAATACGGTTTTCAAAGATGATCCAAATAGACCAATAATGATGGAAGACCTAAACAAGTTAAAATATTGTGAAGCAATTATTAAAGAAACGTCAAGAATAAGACCTGCAGTTACCATGACTTCAAGATACTATGTTCAACCTGATGAAATAGCGGGATATAAATGGCCAGCAGACTCTTTCTTAATAATGTATATTCGTGGAATTAATACTAATCCACTTTATTGGAAAGATCCAGAGAAATTTATTCCAGAAAGATTTTACGACTCTAGTGAAATTGAAAATCGACATAAATTTGCATTTCCAATGTTTGGAGGAGGTTTTAGAATATGTTTAGGTAGAAACCTTGCAATGATAGAAATAAAAATAATAGTGGCTTCACTTTATAGAAAATTTGATGTAGAACTTGTAGATATGGAAGCACCTCTTAACGTTAGTACTTCAATTGTCACGGTTTGCAACAATTTGGATGTTAAAATCATCCCTAAGTAGCATATAATTTTATGTTATTACTTTCCATCTCTATGGGAATTGCAGGGCGGTCCCAATTCAAATATACAATATAATTTATATCTGCATTTATATTTAGCATTTACCTTTTTGATGTTTTTATTATCCAACATATTCAATAAAACGTTAAAATTTTTGAAAAATATAATTAATAGAAGTTTTTAGTTCAATTTATTTTTTTCTGAGTATATTTCTACGTATCATATCAAAATTTTGGTTAGATAAATTTAAAAAATCATGGCTCTAAATTATCGTCTGTTGTCATCGTTCCGGAACAGGGACATAAAAAAAACCGAATCAAAATTTACCCAAATACAGTCGTACCTGAGTTATATCTCCACTAGGTTATACTGTACCCAACCTGAGTTATATCACTATTTCTTAATAGAATAAATTTCCTATATTAATTTTACTTGGCTTATATCTCATTTTATATTAATTTTTAATTATATCCCTATCCCTGGTAATTGCTACAGTCAAAGAGTATAAAATAATATATAAAATACCTAAGATATATCCCCGAAATTGTTATACGAATAATACTATTTATTGGTCAATAATTTCTTAAACTAATTATATGATTTTAAAAATTGTAATTTAATTTTTTGACAATCACATGATGAAAGTGCAATACTCAAGTTATGTCTCTACATTAGATATATCTCCAAAAATGCTCTGGAAAAAAGGAGGGATATAACTCAGGTACGACTGTATCTAGTCATTTTCAAATATTTAAGAGTACGTCATTACCGATTACCAACGAAACTCTTGACGAAATTAATTTAGCCGACTAAATATAAAAATACAGATAGATATCTTTCTTTCAACAAACTTCTTTATCCAGGTTCTGTGACCTCCAAGTTATTCAGACTACATTCGAATTTAAATATAACCTATTGGTGCATCTGTTCCTAGTTTTAGTTTATTAAATCTCGAGTTTTAACGTTAAGCACCATCTGTCAAGTATATGAATCTTGTGTATGATGCTAGATCTATATTTGTTCATATGGATTTTATACACTGTCATGGGATTGACAATTTTTTGCGACATTACTAACCTAACTTACGGCTTATAGACTACATATGATAGGTCGATCATAGATCAATCATGGTCAAGAATATCATAGGCAGAAGTTTGCCTGATTTGCTAGCGTAAATCAATTGCCCGGATAACTAATTTATACGTTTTAGAGTACTTTTAAGAACATAACATTACACAAATAAACAGCCGCCCAAACATTGTTTCTAGCTTCAAAAGAGTGCTAGAAAGTTAACTTTAAAAATAAGATCTAATAATATCCTGTTTAAGCTGCTTTCTTAGTAACGACTTTTTTTGACATATGAACAATGCTCTTCTGCCACCTAAAGTGGCGAATTCGGGATAATTTAATTAGTTAGTAGATCGGAAAATCTAGAAAATAATAGGGAATAACTTAAAATTTTTTCAAAATTACGAAATAATAGGTTCGTTATAAAAAAAAAAGTAATTCTACAACAAAAAATAATAAAATACTACCGTGAAAAGAACGCATCTGATTGGTTAGGGTTAGGGTGATCAGCCAATGGATTTTTAATTTTTACGATCATTCAATTTTCAGCATCATTCCAACAATAATATTCTTTGTCAAATCTATTGGATACATATTGGTACGATGAATCAAGAATGACTACGCAAATTAATTATGTACGGAGTATAAATACATATAATTTAATAATATAATAAATTTTTCATAATGAAATCGCTGAAAATTCATATAATACTGAGTAGAGGCCTGCGTTGGGTCCCGCAGCCCGGCCCGGCCGGGCCTGAAGCAAAATTTTATAATTGCGGGCCGGGCCGGGCCGAAAAATTTGCAAAATATTATAATTGCGGGCCAGTGCGGGCCTAAAAATTTGTAAAATTATATAAGAAATTTTTGCGGGCCGGGCCGGGCCGGCAAAAAAATGGTAACCCTAAATGCGGGCCGGGCCGGGCCTAAAAAAAATTTTTAACCCTAATTGCGGGCCGGGCCGGGCCTCAAAAATAGGCAATTTGCAGGCCCCTAATACTGAGTATAAATTGTACTGATTTGGGTGTAGGTTATGTCGATCATCGCTGATTGTAGCCAATAAAACCACAGATCTCGTGTAACTTAAAAAATTTCGAAAAGCATTGTGAAAACAGAAAAATCGCAAATAACTCAAGATGTTATTATGATAACCACAGTTTGACTTCTAAATAAAAGTTTTCAGTACGAAATTTTAGTTATTTTAGAACATTTTCAAATAACGAATATTAAGTAAAATAAAGCCTCGCTAAATTCTAATCTTTGTGTTCTTTCGATTTGGTAATCGGCATAACTTCAGTACGTGCGTAGCAGGAACGGAGTGATGAAATTACGAATACCAGGAACGGAGTTATGAAGTTACGAAGTGTATACAGGGAACGGAGTAATATATCACGAAGCATATGGTTTATAGTGATATACTTATAACTGATTGGCAATTGGGAAATCTGAAATTCTGCATTTAATCTTCACGATGTTGCATCACATAGCACTGTACTTATATGTAGTATCTTATCGATTAAGATACACGATAATCATTTATAAAAATATATTTTTTTATATTATTGTCTTTGAATTGCGCTGGATTATGTGAAAATGCAAAATCTTGAACTGAATTAGTCCACATGATTCTTCATCGCAAATGTCAAACTTTGCTCAACATGTATCTATGCTTACCGTTACGAAAAAAAATCAAATTTACAAGGGTGGGTTATTATTTTTGGTTAGAATCGCGATATAATTCTTTGATCCCTATTAATAATGTCGTAATTTTTGTTTTTTTTTCAAATTTCGCGATATTGTATCATCAGTGTCTCAAATTAATGTGCGCAAAGGGCATAGCGCCATTAAAAAACCTTTCCGCACCTTAAAAATTTAACAATATGTGCGTCTTGCGCACATATGTTTCAAAATTACGGACGCAATGCGCTCATTAAAATTCTTAAATTCATATATTTTTTAACCTTTGTTGTGCACTATATTTATTATGAAGCTAACTTGTTAACTAACGTCAATGATTATGATACGAACATTGAAATTAATTTATATCTTAAATATTTATTGATATCGAACTTACTTAAACTTTAAAATGGTATATAATCAATTTATTTCGACTTTTTTCTTTTGCACACACTCAAAAAAAATTTATGTGCGCTTCAGCACACCAGGATTTATATGTAATGTGCGGCCCATCCACGTTCTTGATGCTGAATGTAGCCCTGTATTCTTTTTCTGAATGTATCGACAAAAAAAAATACGACAAACTTTTTTATTGTTGTTGAGGCATGCTTTCTAAATTTACATATTATGCAAGTTATAACTTTAAGGGTCTTATTATTATTCATAAGAACTTTTTTTTTTTTATTATTGTCATCGGTCCGACCACTATATTTTGAGATTATATTAACCGAATATATCCCTTTCTTTATTCACATTAGCAAATATACATTTTTATCAACAAAGTTTGTGAAACCCTTTTTTTTATTATATTTTTATTATAATAAATGCTTATTATAGAATTATAATCCACCTAGATTGATTCCGAATAAACATAGGTTGTAATAGAATTCCAAAACGTGCCCGAGTCGTTGAAGGATTCCAATTCAGTTTGCAACAAAATCAAGTGTATTACAAATTATTCCATCGAGTACATTATTTTGTAATTTAGGTCACTTTAAGATAGGGCTTACATAAAACTGTGTATTGTAAATTACTTAAATTTAACGAAGTTTCTACATCTATTATTAGTGGGATGGCAACTATTTTTCAAGGTACTTTATATTTACAATAATTTTTGTCATATGCATTTTTCAATTGCATTTTATATTAATTACCTGTGAAGAGACTTGTGAAGAAAATTGCATAATAAATGCTTCTAGAACACTTATGAGTATTAAAGGAATACTATCCAACTCTAGATACTTGGCGAGACCCAATTAACACAAGTAGGTTTGAGTCAAATTTAATAAGTTTGATCTTTCACATTCACGATTATTGTATAATACAAAAATCAAAATGTTCACGTGTTATAAAGGCTTTATGTTGCCCATTCGTCGACTTGATAAAATTTTTAAAAAGCAATTCTTCGAATGTATTACGAGATTAAAAACGATATTTGGTGAAAGTTGCAAAGAACTAAAAAGTGAAAAATAAAAAATAATGTATTTTATCTTAACAACGATATAATGTAATTTGTTACGTAAATCGGACACAGATTTATTACAGTGTCGAATTTGAATTTATCGATTATACAGTATTAAATTTAGAATCGACTTAAATTGCAATTTGGACTAAATTTGAAATACTGTTCCACTCTAAGTGGATTCTAAATCTACAATAATTCCGTTCTGACGTTCGACATATATAATAACAATGTTGTCAGCCACTATTTTTTTTATAGATGATACTAACTTGGTTGTTCCACATGCCCAACTTGCCTATTTTGCCCATTTTGCACATTTATATTTCCTTTTCTCTTCTTAACTAAACAAGTACTTCCCACAATAATTGCTACCATTACTATTATTGCTAATACCACTATCAAAGTTATTAATAAAGGATTGTGCATATCAAAATTAGTTGTAGAAGAATTGGATGCAGGGGACGTGCTCGGTATATTAGTACGGCTAGCTGTAGAGGACGTAATCGGTATACTAGCATAATTTATAGCCCAAGGACCTCCGCAAATTTGAGAAGGGTAACCCACACAGCTAGAACTACATCCTAAATTATCAACCCCATGAGCTAAATTATTGCATTGGGAAGAATTACCGCAAAAACATTGAGTCCCGTCTTCTACACCAGCACACCCCGAATAATTATTATCCTTACAAATATTTATACAAATATCAAGTGTAAGACTATCATGTTCTCCATAGCAATCCAAAACTCGGTGAGGAACAGGATAATCTTGAATGCAACTCCTTGTATTATTTATAATTATATTAAGTTTCGTATTAGTGTCTAAGCCATGAGTCAAATTGAAATGAGATTCAGTAATCGAAATTTGAAAGAAACAAGCAGCGCAATTAGAGTTATCGAAACAAATTGATGCATTTAATTGTTGTGGTTGAGAAGTATAATTGTCAAAACTTTTATCACCACACCAACAGTCAGTGTTGTTGTTTATAATGGCAGCATACTGAAAAGCAAGATCAGCGCAATGATCAACACAAAGATAAGAATCCATTAGGATACTATGAAAAGGTTGATGAATCGTATTGTTGCCATAATTTCCTAAGGAATAAGGGAATCCTAAGCTGGTCAAATCACTCGTACTTAAATTGTAGCAATAACCAGGTGGCGGAGGTCTTGAAGATGAACAGTTAGACATAATAGATTACTTTGTTAACCTAATTAAGAACGTTCAGATCATGATAATGCCTTTAAAAGAATGATTGGTACTCTCAACATTAAGAGTATGCTTTTTAAAAAATTCAAGAAAAATTCAATTTAAAAGAAATTCAACTTTGAAATCAGAGTTATTGTTATAAGCGATTTTTACTGCCCGGAGTAGTGAGTGAACTTTTAATATTAAGTTGTTTATTTAGACCAAACATAATTTGTATAACATTTTTTTGGTGTTAGGGTTAGATCAGGAGATCTGTATGTAACGGTGTTTTTTTTATTGATATTTGATTGGTTTAACTTTCGAACATCTTTCCTTTTTTATAAGATCTATTGTAAAAAAATTACCAGGAATAGAGTGTTATATACGTATACGTAGCATAGCACAAAGAGGATAGTTATACATGGTGATTACATTAACCAATATATGATTTTGTTTTGTGTTTGTTTTCTCCGGATTTTCCAATTTCGTTTATCCGAAATGTTTTAATTTGTTGATTTGTGATTTTGTGTCTCGTGAGCTGCCACATTGCCTATTTGAACAAAAAAGGAAATGCAATTGAAAACGTTTTTATATAGCATTTTAGTACGTAACGTGCATAACGTACTAGTGCGTTACGTTCTAAATTTGGCACCACTCCAAAAATTCTTAATCGAATTCAGGTTCATTTATAAGAAAAAGAATATTGTGGTTTAGTATTTTAGATAAAACTGAACATGGTAAGAAAACCGTAAAATTAAAATTTGAAAAGTATCTTTGTCAATTGAGAACTATTATATTGTTATCGTATCTAGTATATATTATTTTGTTAACAAAGCTTACTGTTATCTTCACTTTAAAAGCATATTTTGTCTTTGTATGCATTTTGTTAATAAAACAGACCATGAAATGTCATTAATAAATTATGCTACATGTTGATTAATGAAAAATTTTACAACATTTTATTTTAAAAATAAATGAATAATAATTTGTGATGATTTGCCATTGTAATATTGATATTGTTACATTTCTTAGAATTTATTGCATGTCTTTTAAAATTATATATTGATGTTATTATTTAATAAACAAAAATGTTTGTTTATACAATCAATTATTATATATGTTAATAGATAAACATTGTCATGATTATTATATTTATTGTATATGTTAATATATGAAGATCATCACAATTACTGCACTTTATTCTTGAAGCCAAAATAATAATTGTTAATTCATGATAACTTATCATATGTAATTAGTTTGTTAATATTAGTTTTAAAATATTTAAGTAATATAAATTCACAATTTATAAGAAAAAAAATAAATAATTGAAATTTAAAGAAAATAAATATTTTTTTAAATTAAAAATATTTTAAATATTTATTCTGATCTTGATTATTTATATATTTTTTTATATTATTAAATAAGAAATGTTCAACTAAACATCTTCATATAGTTCTTTAATCATTTTAATTACTACTAAAGATAATAGAACTTTTTTTATATAAGACTTGACAAAGTATCAATCTGATGAAATTATTTTTCAAATAATTAAATGAAAATATTTTTATTTATTTAATAAACCTTAAATAGAATTTTCATTAGTTAATATACTATCTTTTATAGAAAAGTTTATAATTGAAGATAGAATCGAATACATTACAGTTGTTTATAATAATATTATCAAAATTAGTAATTCTAAAGACTAGTTTAAACCTGATGAAATTTCTTTCTATATTTCATATCACATATTTTCTATAATAATTAAATATGACCCAAAACTTCAAACCAAAAATAGTTATTTTGAAATCAAGTCTTGTATATATAATTCTTTTATCATAGATGAAGTCTGAATAGAAATAATAATTTCTTATTCTGTTTAAGTTATTCAATTTAAATATCTTTATTATTATATTAAAATAGATTAATTATTTGTAGTAACTGGGTTTATTATATTTAAAAAACCAAATATTATAACAATTGAGACTACTAATATAGATTATTTGTCATTTTTTAATACAACTATAATATGACTAAAAACTTTTCAATTATATTAACTATATATATAGAAATTAATTAAATTACTGATGAATTTAAGTTAACTAATATTTAATTAACAAAAAATAATGAAAATTAATGCCTATTACTACTAGTTACAGTATAAGTTAGTTATAATAAAAATTTAATTTTGATTATTCTTTTTGAATAATTTACTTTCTTTAATATCAAAATTATTATAAACAGAAAAAGAAAAAAAGTAACTGATTTAGTATTGAATTCTTTTAGCTTAACTAAGATCAATCTGAAGAAATTAAAATAAACAAAGAAGAGTAATATAAAAACAGTAAACTAAAAAATAATTAAGATTAGTTAGAAATAATTAAACAAGAAAAAAAAAAATCAAAAAAGATACAAAAAAATAAATAAAGAAAACATAAGTATAAAATAAAAATATTTGAATTGTAAATTAACATTAAAATCTTTTTAATATTTTTTTTGGTATTAAGGTGACCTTTTTGGCATTTGACTTTATTAATACCTTTGTCAGACATCCTAATAAATATACAACTAGTTATACATATAATTTTTCTATATTACCTACAGGTTAAATAAATAAATAAAAAGAGAATAATAAGTAAATAACAAAAAAATCTGCTATTATTCTATCTTATATCTGTTAAATAATAGCAGATTTTTTTTCTGTTATTTACTTATTATTCTTTCTTTATTTATTCACTCAACCTTTAACCTATTTAAAAAGTCTGCCTAAAGGTTTCTTATCTGTTATATCTAACACTTCTGTTTAGGTGTTTTATTTAAACTTTTTAATCTAAAACTTTTGTTTCAACTTTATTAGATTACTTGTATTCAGATCCTTGTTTCAATCTTAGGACTATGATTTTTAGAACTATTTTTATTCTTAAAAAAACTTATCAGAATAAGTTATATTCTTTTTTTATTACTAATATAATTTTTATTATAGCCAAAAACAACACTTGTAATTAGGATTATCCATTAAATTGTTTTTATCTTTATAATGTTTATTCAAACCTTGATATTTATTTTTTTAATATCATTATCATTATCTTTTACTAATCACTACTTAGAATTAATAAAACTCTCTAAACTACTAATTTAAATGATTCAGTCGAGTATACTTGTATATTTTTTTTTTTAACAATTTTAGCAATCTGGTTAATATATATACTTCTTTTATATACCTGTTATTTGGTTTATTTGACAATTTTTTTAAGAGTGTTTCATAGACTTTTATTGATCCAATAGCATTATCAAAAGTTTGTACTACTTTTTTAAACTAAATTTTCAAATGACCTTCTCTTTTCTCAGTTTTTTAGTCTTCTATACTTGGTAGTCTTATTATAGGTTTGCACTAAAGCCTTATACAACAATGATATTTTATATTCCTCTATATATGTAAAATATTATTTTTTTAGATAAAACTTAACTTAATGTATCTAAGATTACAGATATTTAAATTCAACTGATTGACAAGAGACATTATTGTAATACATATATAATTTTCAAAATTCATTATCTGTAGAATTGAACCTTAAATCTGTTATTTTAAAAATTGATAACCTATTTATTTTACTAAGTTGTTACATTTCAAAATCTTTTTAATAATATATAACTGATACAAATAATTTATAATTTTAAATTTATATTTAATTTATTAAATCATATTGACTTTCAGTCTATATTTAAAGTTAAATTAATGATTTAAAAAATAAATAGAGATAAATATTCTGATACTAATAATTAATTTTTTTTAGTTAAAATAATTTTATATAAATTAATTACAAACTATATTATAATTATTATTTATTATATTATAAAATAAAGATAAATATTCTGATACTAATAAATTTAACAACTGCTTAGTATATTTTATTAAAAATCTTTAATATAAATAACTTTCAAATTTTAACTAAAGAACTTCAATTATATATACAAATTTTATACAAAATTTATTTGACATTTCAATAAATTAAAAACAATATCTTTAAATAATCTTTATTACAATTAATAATAAAAACTTATATATTAAACCTAATTATAATAAATTAAATTTAAATCTTTCTTTAACTAAAGATAATTATTAACTATTGATACAAACTATTGATACAAACTATTTGCAAATTGTTTTTTTATACACTTTATTATAACCAAAAATTATAGCAATATTCTTTTTACTATAGCAATCTTCTCAAAGTTTAAACTATATTAATAACCTTTTTTAAAATAAAATTTTATATATTGTATGTTCTTATATGTTTCTTGCTTGTACTACTCAATTCTTATATTTGCAAAACAAGCTAAATAGGTTAAATTTGAGAATAATAAGATTTACAACTTTCTTATTGCATTTTCAAATTTATTTCTTACTAAACACTCTAATAAACCAAACTATATTGCCGTTTATATTTTTTGTAAACTGTTACTAAATATTACAAAGTACTAATTTTAATGCCAATTTTAAAAGTACTAGCAAATGTTCTAATATTTCATTGTTAATAGCTATTTCCAATTTATCTAAATTGTTCTTTAGGATGTACAGAAAATGTTGATCAATTTATATACTATTAACATTTTACTAAACAATTTGGTTTATCAAAAAACATTCATATATTATATTTATATTCTAAAACATTAGATGCAATTTTAGATCCTAATACTAACAATAACTGGTTTTACTTTTCTATATTACATGTTATTAATTGGTTAAAAATTAATAATCTGTTTCTTTAATCACATAATTATATAATTACATTAGGTTACAATATTTACACTTTTATTTTTTTACCTTCTGCATTATTAATTTATAATTAAGAAAACATAATAGTTAATATTACAACTTTGCATTATTATTCAGATTTTTTTTTTTTTTTTAATATTAATGATGAGGCCATGCCTCTATCTTTATTGAATATTTATTTGAAATTTTTAAATAAAGTATAAATTTACTATTAAAAATATTATAAAAA